GTTGCAGTATCCTCGTAATAACCTCAAATTACTTTTTAAAGTGGCAAATACATGAACTTTGATTTATGCTGTCTTGCACTGATGTATGCATTTCAAATTTCACCATTTTTTTTTATTTCCTCTTTTCCTTTATTGTATACTTTCTTCACAGACAAGTAAGCTTGCAACGATTATAATTGAATTATAGCTACTTTACCCTGTTCCCAAATTAAGACACAGCTTTACATATACTTTTTTCTTTATTGCATAGGTGTCTGTGCACTTGCTATTGAATTTAATACACACGAAAAAGCCAAGAAAATCTGTGAGAATTATAAATGTTCACATGTTGTACCCAAACAACTACAAGAACAAATAGATAATCATTATTTAGAAACGTTCAAGAAATTTGAAGAAGGGAAAGCTGGGTTTGCTTTTCAGCCCTGAGATTCATCTTGCATTAATGGTCTGTGTATAAGTTGATATTGATGAGAGTAGGTTTTAAAGCCATTTACTGCCTGTACTCACTCAAATAATGACCATATAGTCAGAAACATTTTGATATGTTCTTCACATGGTTTAGTCACAGCTTTAGCAAATCTGTTAATGTAATGATGAAATTTTTTCATGTAACTGTAAGAACAATGTCATCAGTGAAGATGAGTGATGACATTATTTGTTTGTTTGGCATTGGACTATTTCTTAAATTTTCATTTAAATCTGTAAATTGCCTTTATTGCATGCTGGATCATTTTAAAAAGACTTATTTAGATCATAGACACACCATTCTGCAAAAATTCACGATCTCATATAGAACCGAACAAAATTGAGCTATATTGAAATGAAAAAGATAATGTAACATTTTTGTTAGTGAGTTAAATAAATGTGTAATTAAAAAATGAAAGTTATTATGGAATGTCTTGAATATTATCTTGTTTACTGTGTCTCATTTTTATATTTAGCTTTATAAATAATTCATAATTTACATAGTTTGATGCCTCCATTGAATACAAATGTGTGTGTTGTCAGCTGCTGATTGGCCAATATGTGATTAATAAAAATGTGATTAATACAAATTGAAAAATTCTTTTAGACTAAAAAACTACCGGTATATTTCTTATCTGATTTACATTTTCAGAGTAAAATTTGACCTTGGCACAAACATGTTCACAGTATTTTGACTTATCAAAACATTTCATATAAATATTTCAGTGACTGTTTGATGTACATTAAATCTCACAAAAACTCATTTTTTGTCTTGCTTGAAGATGTTCATGCAATAGTCATTATGTATCAATGTAATTATGTTTAATCTTCACTGATATGCACAACAACTCTGATATGTTATGACCAGTGCATGTCACAGGGATACATGACCAATTATTTATCTATAGCATTTACTTGCATATATAGCATATACTTGATTTTGCTCAAAGACACTTGAACACAGTGTATGCAGTTCAATGAGCAGAC